GCATCATGCGTATAATAGACTATGTCAAGATAATTGTCACGCTCAGTGATGTTTTAATTATATGTCACTCAGCTTGTCACTTGCTTCTCTGAGGGACTTGACGGGTTTATGTACTGATATTTTTAAAACTTGGCAGCGCTTTAATTGTGTGTCTGTGTCTATGTGAACACTGTTTCGTGTGGCTGAACTGTTTTGTAGCAGTGTTTTATATGCATAATTTAATGGTGACCTAAAAGATGCTTCCCGAATGAATAAAGTGTAAATAACTAACTGAACTTTATGATGGCCTGTGTTTTTTTTCTTCAGCTGGCAAACATTGCTGAAAGTCATGGTGCAAAATAATATGTCTGATTTATCTGGAACAACCATTTAACGACTACAGTTTGTTCATTTAAAAAATATCAGTATCACAGCTGAAACCCACGACTGTCTTCGGGTAATTGAATCCGTCTGTGAGATGGTGTTAATGTGGTTCGGTACCTGTCGGGAACACTGTCGTTCTCTCATGGCTTTGAGGCTTCCATTCCAGTGCAGCAGCTGGAACACAGTCATGAGCTCCTGAAACACAAACGCGAGAATAAGAGACCGAACTCGCTCAGATTTTAGTCGTTCAGCATGGCAAACCCATGCACCGTGATGCCATAAGACCGTCTGTTTCCACTTAGAAACAGGGTTAAGATGTTCCAGCTTCCAGCTCTATACTGTAAGTAGATGACAAAATGGGTCACATGTGGGCCAAAACTGCAGCATGTAACCTCACTGGAGCTGCATTAACTCACAACATTTATCAAGCAAGGGGTTCAGTGTCGTCTTTTCCAGTCTCTGTCTGTGTTGTATGTGTAGTGCACACATTCATCTTTAAAGTCAGCATCAGGCCTTGATATTAAATATACAGATAAAGAAGTCCAATAGGCTGCTTTAAAAGACATTTCAGATTTATGTACCTGAAACTCCAGCATGGACTTTCCTTTGTTGGACTCGAGCATAAAGCGAAACGCACCGATTCCTGTGTTGGGATTGTCGGCCTCTTCTCTGTTTCCCTGTGGACAACAACACCGAGTTAACATCAGTCAGCCACAGCTTGACTTATCTATACGTGCTTCTTATTCACTTATCCAAGGCAGTTTTCAAAGCATCAACTATGAAGGGTGGTCGACAAATTCCAACTATGCAAGTATAAAAAGCAAAAAATAGTTATCCGGCTGCTTTCAAAGTAGTCTCTTTGTGCAGCAGTACACTGCTCCCAGCGCACCTGCTGCCTTTGGAACACTCCCTGAAAGCCTGGTGGCGACGACCTGCGATTTCACAATGGACCTTAAGTAAACTTTAAATCTGTGTCAAACTGACGGGACCTTCATGTCGAGGTTTATCCCTGATGATGAGATTTAAATCTACGGCTACGATCCAGAGACCAAACAGCAGCCTTTTAGAAGCCACAGTCCCAGCAGCAAGACCAAGCGTATGCTCATCATTGTGTTGGACATTCATGGGTTGTGCACCGTGAATTTGCCCCACAGGGTCACACTGCCAACACCGAGTTCTACTTTAACTTCCTAAATCACCTGAGTGAGAACATTCAGCATAAACAAACTGAAACGTGGCCATGTGGGTCCACTCACAGGGCGTCTGAAACACAATTTTTTTTTGGCCCGACAAACACGATCATCACCTTCCACCCGCCCCACTCCAGATTGAGCTCTGTTACCCCTTTCCCACCAAGAAGTACGAGGTGCTAGCGCCGTGCTGGTGCTCGGGCCAGTGCTTAGTTGGTCCCAACCTAAGAGCCAGTTGCTTTTTCATCGGCAGGGAGCCAAGTTAGGGCCACACCATACGTCACCGCATACGTAGCCACTTACTGAACAACGCTCACGCCACGCAGAAGTCCACACAGGACTGCAGACTAACTTTTTTACCAGTGTGACCAACTTTCTCATTTGTCCGCACTTCTCACCGTGTCACAGGAAAAACATATGACTTGCTGAACATTTTCTTATCGATAGACGCTACAATTTCCGATGTTCCCCGAACGCTCCACATTGCAGGCTGGGCTGTTGGTGGCCGCCGTGCTCAGACTGGTGTGTGACCAAAAATGACTTTAACAACAGTAAACCAGGGCGTTCTGATGTCAGATTTGTCCAAGATGAAACTGACTTTTTCTCATGCTGTCTTGAGACTTCTTCCTCTTCTCCCAATGAAAGTCAAGCTTCAGGATCTGCTGTGGTGGAGACCCAGCAGATGGAGCTTGGTCACAGAACAGGGCTTGAGCATGGGGAGCAGTGTAGTGCTGCACAAGGTGACCACGCTGAAGGGAGTAGAGGCTACGTTTCAATGCATCTAGTTCTGGCTTTTGTCAGAACTTCTTCACCACACTTTGTATTTGTATGCAAACTATCCAAATATTTACTGTCGCTCAAAAATCTGCACACATGTCGCCAACTGCAAGGTGACAGTTTTGCAAATCTAGCTTAATGCACAACACATGTGGATGCACATTAAAACAGACACAACTTTCAGAATTCAGCAGCAGCCATTATAACTCACATTGAAGGAGGCCAGCGCCTCGTTCACGCTCTTCTCGATGAAGTCGTCCGTAATCCGACGCGAGGGGTGCTCATTAAAAACCGAGTTCATCAGGGCAATCTTGGCAGCGCTGCGTCTCGCTTCTGCCTTAGTGGGACAGAACTGTCAAACAGCGAGGAAAACTTGTATTAGCGGTCAGATTCAAAGCGACACACGCAGATATACAGTCAAAACACCACCGACAGCTGGTGTTTACAGAGAGCGAAGTCATCCAAGTGAGGACAGATGTTAAACTGGCCATCTGAGGTGTTGAGTTTACATCTAGAGCTGGTGTGTCTTGTGGTTGCACGAGTGTTTGTGACATTATTTGTGCAGTGTGAAGGGATTCTTCTAAACAAAGCAGCAACAACACCTTTTTTCTTTTTACCTGGAAGCTTCCAAAGCAGCTGCCCCCTGGAAGGCTAACATAGCAGACGTATGGAGGGCTGTTGGACGGCACCATTTCATAAACAACTAGAGCTCCGTTCCGCAGGTCGGCTCCTCTGGTCAGCTTCATCTGCCAAAACTCCTGCAAAGCTTCCACCACGTTCACTGGAAGACAGAAGGAGCCTGGTTATAAGAAACCTGTGTTCTCTGCAGTTTACATGTGTTTGTCTTTAGCTGTTGGCCGAGCTCTGCAACATCCTCTCTAAACAAAAAGATGGAAAAGGGCAGGGGAAGGTCGTCTCCAGGATGCCAGAGGTTTTTTCCTGAAGAGATTTAAGTTGCTGCCCGAGAGGAAATTCTGCATCACCTCCGAGGAGCCGCTTTAAGAGAAACTCCCCTCGGCTCCTGCACGTTGTGTGAGAAAGTCCCTGTCGTCCGTTAGGAAACAACAACATAGGAGAGCGGTAAATTCTGCAGCTGAGTCATAAAAGAGTATTTGGGTTTGGGTCTGCAGGGAGCTGTGAGCGGAGCCAACATTACCCAGAGTTCTTTGACTTCTGTTATCTCTCGGCTCCGTCCCGCTGAGCTCTCGCTGTTTGAAACGAACGCAGGCAGAAATGCTTCTCAGGACTTTGTCTAACAGAGAAACTGAACCCTCGAATCCAAATCAATAAAAACAGTAAAACACCCAGCATAGTTCTCTGGCTGTTCGTTGGTCACAAAGTCATAACTAATGTGCCTTGGAAAGCTTAACGCAGCTTAATGTAATATACATATCATGTAATACCATCAAGGAGGTCCAAATATGTCCAAACCAGAGTTGTAAAGAAACATCTTCCCTCCGGAGACAGATGGTCAAGCCCCACCTTCTGCTCTCTGATCTCAACTTCCAGTCACTCTGGGATTAAACGAGGAGACAGCTTAAAGAAACACCTTAAAAAACTGTCTGCACATGCATTTAGGAGAGTCTGCGCTCACACTGGGAATATACTGTTCACTTGATTTATGTAGTCTACATTTATTGTCCTTTTTAAGACGTGAATCTGTAGTTTAAAGCATTTTCACTGTATACAAATCCATGATGTAGTCCGTTTTCTTCTCTCTCTGTATTCTTTAAACAGTGAGTTTAAGCTGGATACAGGTTGATGTGTTGGATGTGTTTGTGCACAAGAAATCAATTCAGACTCTGAGAAAGATCATTTTCGAGCACATAAACTGCTCTGGACAGTGACAGGATCACACTTTTGCATCTATTTTGGTCACTTTTTTAAGCATTTCCTTGATAACAAAAGAGAGGAAACATTTGGAGATAGCAAAGGATCCCAGCATTCAGACCCAAACAGCGACAGCAACTCCCTGCACCCACACTTTTGCTCCTCCAAGGGACTAAAATGGACGTTAACAATAGCACCGGTAAAAGTAGAAAGCAGCAAGCAAAGGGCCTTTTAAAATTATAACCTATTTTAAGGATATAAAAGCCAAATTACTTCTTAATGTGGAGGAAATATTTTATTACCAAAAGCCTAATAAAGCAGTCTTTATGGCGCTGCCAGTGTAGAAGCTGTTAAGTAGCCTAAATGGGATAAAGGAGGGACGAGGCTGTTAGTCAGAGCACACAGGGACAATCTTTTGGGAATAAATCCTATTAGCACAGGACAGGAACACTTGTATTAGCTCCAACCGCCTGCATTATTTCAGCTTTTAGTCTAATGTGAGTTTCTGGCGTGTGTCTTGATAAAGTGAGTGAACTACGACTGCCAAGCCAATCGAGAAAAAATCAAATAAATCAGTCATTTGTAAAAAGGAAAAAAAAAAAAGAAGAAGAATAAAAGGTTTCTATTAAACCGCATCCATCTGGTAATACTTAAGAAGATGTATAGTTTGGATTGAGTACAAAACATATAAATAAACTCTAATTTCCTTAATTAAAAGCGGAGGTATATCCTGAGGTTTATTTAGAAATCACGTCCTGACTAAAGACAACGCGCTTTTGTTTCTGGAGGTGAGTTGACATGAAGCGTTTCACCGTGTCCAAGCTGAACGTCACGGATAATTTATGAGCATAATAGCGCATTGTTGGTAAATGTAATCCCTCAGAGCTGCGCTTGTTAATCCTACGATGGAGTGATGGAAGCCTGGAACCCTGAAGAACAACATCCAGATTATTTTATATACATATGTGTATGTGTATATACATTGAACATGAATATAATATGTGCATAAGAAGTATGGTTAAGTAAACAGATTTAGAGGGTATTAGTTCATACGAGGGTACAACTTTGTTAATGTAAAATCTTGAAAATGGGCAAGATGCTCCCTCAGGAGTCATTCTGATCAATACAAGCTTGTTATTTATGAACACAATTAACTTATTCTGGAAATTCTGATGCTGGTTTTACTTTAACAGCAACATAAACCTCAGATTGCACATTTATAATTATTTTCTAAAACTTTTTAAAACCCTCTTCTCAGCCTTCAAGACACACAATCAAACATGTTTCACTGCTAGTTACTGATTATGTTTGATGACAGTGAACATACGTCATTATTTTTGGGCTTCTTAGCTCATATTAGGGGAACCTTAGCTCAGAAATCCTACATTTACACCTTTAAATCAAACAAAAAAATGTATTTTTCGAACTAATGCACAACCCTCCTCATGACTCTCATGTAAACAGTCAAATAAAAGTTTGTGGATGCATTTTCTTCAAAATAAAAGCATCTGTTTGGTTCAAACTACTGATTAACCCTCTTTATGTCTCGCATGTAAACATAAAAACAGAGCCTGTACATGTATATTCTTCTTTAAAAAGCATATTTTGGTTCAAACTACAGACTAACCCTCTGTATGACCCTCATGTGAACAGTCAATAAAAGTTTGCAGATGTATATTCTCACAGGAAAACAAGCACAGAGGCATATTTTGTGCTGTCAGACTATAATAACCACTTCTTGTGATTTGCTCAGGACCAGCAGAGAGATGTAAATGCCAATTAAATCCCAGCAAGGCCACTGTGATCCAGACTGGGAGGAGTGGAGCTGTGTTGGGGGACATCTCAGCCCAGTTTACCTGCTGTGACCAACTTTTATTCCCAGTGAGCAGCCTGTGGTGACATCAGGCTCAAGCAGCTCAACATGAACATTACAGGAATGCAGCTTGTGTGTGTGTGTTTTTTTCTAAACAAATGGCGCAGCTCAAAGTGTCTCCAGAAGCTCCCCTCCTCCCCAAACCCACAGCCACACATCAGCCTCTCCGTCTGTGCCCGTTACCGCCTCCGGACTAACCTCTGCCGTAACCTTGCGTGTGCTTGGCGAAGCTGCGGACCACCGCCTCCACCGCCTCCTTCAGCACCGCCGGGTTCCCGGGGTTACAGTGGCCGCCGGCCCCCGGCCCCAGCCCCGCCGCCATCCCGCCGTACAGGCTGTGGAGCTGCAGCGGAGGCGGCGGCGGCGGAGGCCCGGACGAGGCGGACAGAGAGGCCGGGGAGGGCAGCAGCGGCGCGATGGGCACCGTCACCCCGGGCCGGAGGGAGGAGCGGAGGGTCCCGGTCGGTCCCGAACCGAAGCCGATCCCCGGCTGCAGCCTCTGAGGGCGGATACTGTCCGGGATCACGTTAGATTCCATTGTCCCGACGTAACGTCTGCGGAGTCCGGCTCTGGAGCGAATCTGGAGCGAGCAACCCGACGGCTTCGGCCGAAAAAGTGAGCTTGACGCGCTGAACGAGGGGAGCGCTGGCAGGATTTAGGCAGTCACCGCCGAAATAAGTAGTTATCCGACGTTGATTCGACACTAAGAGCGCCGCTGTGCATCCTCGCTGTGTGGATTAGACTGCGGGTTTGTCACTCAAGTGCTGCCTTCACGGACCGCTCGGACACGACAGCTCCAGCCTTGCAAACATTTTTTATTTGTGTCACCAGTTGTGTGGCAGTTAAAGAGGGTTTTTTTCTTCTTGTAACTACGTTTTCAACCCTCTTATTACCTTCAGTTTACTGACATCTTTTATCCTTGGGTTCTATTTGACCCCAGCAATTTAAACCTCCACAAAATTATCATAATTAAACTTGTTTATGTGTAAACAGCCCTTTAAATAAATCTGGAAGAAATTATGTCAATCATTTATTTAGAGACGTTAAACACTGAATGGGGTCAAACTGAAACCAAAGATAACAGGAGGGTTAAGTGTGTTTTTCTTTCATTCAGCGTTTGAAAAGATAGTCCCTTGTTTGTTTGTTTGTTTGTTTACCAGTTGTGTGGCAGGTAAGTTGATGTATGACTGTATTTTTTCTACTTCTTGTAACTACATTTTAAAGCGCACTTTTCTCTTGGATACGTCATGTGACTGAAAATATAATCCCTTGTTTATTCATTGTTGTTGTTGTTGTTGTTGTTGTTTGTTTACCAGTTGTGTGCCAGTTGTAATATATTTGACTGCATTTTATTCTACTTATTGTAACAGTGACTCTGCTTTTCATGTCTATCTTTCTTTTGCATCCATCCGTGCTTTTAGAATAATTTCTTCTCTGTTTGTTTGTTTGTTTGTTTTTGTTTGTTTACCAGTTGTGTGGCAGGTAAAGTGATGTGAGTTTGTGTTTCTCTGATTTATTGAACTGTGCATTTTTTCCCCCTACTTATTGTGAACATCTTTTTGAAGTAAATAAGTTTATCTAACTCGTCAAAGGGTGTTGCGTGCCTTGCAGAGCTAAATTGGGGCAAATTTGAGATTTTCGTTTACAAACTTCATTTGAACCCAAAGATGATTTGCCACATAGTAATGTAGCATTTTGTTGTTGTTGTTGTTGTTGTTGTTGTTGTTGTTGTTGTTTTACCGGTTATGTGGCAGGTAAAGGGATGTGTGTCAGCATGTTAGTATTTATTGTAATTTATTGAAGTGAGCATTTTTTTAAAAATATCTATTTTAGTGCTTATTTTAACTGTGTTTTAAAGTGTTTTCATTATTTTTATTTTTATTATTATTTGCATTCATTCAGGGATTAAGGATGACTATATATTGTCTATTTGTTTATTGTTTGTTGTTGTTCTCATCCTTAATGACTACCCAACAAGACGAAGGATGTTGTACTCTTTGTAAAGCTTATTTGAAAGTTTGTGTTACTGTATAAGAGATTTGTTGTACTATTAGTTCTACATTAACAGTCAAATGCAATCAAACAAACACATATTTTTGATGACAGAGTTTAACAGAGCTGTTGATTTAGCCTTATCTTAACTTTTTAGGCCATCCTGACTGGTTTTCTCGTAAACTCTGGGAGGAAAAGTTTGCAGAAAGTTTTGATTTTCTGTCTTTTTAACTGAATGTATGACCTGTATTTATGTTTTGGTGTTGCATGTATGTGTTTTATGTGTGCTACATATATGGATCTCATTACAAGGTGGTTCTAATTTCTTACGCAGCACAATTTGCATGCATTAGTCAAACTGCTGTCTAGTGATGGAAGATGTAGTGCGACTAAAATGCCACTAAAAAGGACAAATAAGCAAATGGCAACATGTCTAGGGTGCTGATATGTAATATTCTGTTAAATGTCATTTGTTGTAAATTAAAATGTACAATAAAACTGTTTACTTAACACTGTAGGGTCAAAGGTTATGATGACAGAACATCCATCATCTATACACCGCTTAATCCTCACCAGGGTCATGGGGGGCTGGAGTCTATCCCAGCTGACTCAGGGTGAAGGCAGGTTCACCTGGACAGGTCACCAGTCTATCACAGGGCTACACTTAGAGACAGACAACCAAGCACACTCACATTCACACCTACGGACAATTTAGAATCATTAGTTAACCTCAACATGTTTTTGGACTGTGTGGGAGGAAGCCGGAGAACCTGGAGAGAACCCACGCTGCACGGGGAGAACATGCAAACTCCATGTAGAAAGATCCCGGGTGTCCTCACCGGGATGCGAGACGGCGACCTTCTTGCTGCGAGGCTGTGACGCTAACCACCGAGTCACCTTGCAGTCTGAAATGACAGAACAGATGAACAAAAAATGAAAAAGACTTTAATGTGGATTTTAAAGACAAAAAAATACAAACAATTATTACATTTCTGCAATTGGGGCATCAAAAAATGACTTTTATATTCCACAGGATGTAGATCGTTCAGTTTCATGTTTGCTGTTGTCGTTTTTCAAACTTTTTCTGCGGGACCTGAAGGCAGCAGTGGAAAGTCAGAGAAATATCAAGCCAAGAAATCTGAGCCTCCTCTGTTCTCCTCTGGCACCAGCAGAGAACAACTCCAGTGTGGCTTTACAGCTCCAGCTCTGCTGCCTGAAGCATGTGATTAAAACTTGGACGCGGAGTAAACTCAGTTTACTCGATAAGAGGGAGGAAAAGCAAGGATGATCCTTCTTTGAAACAGTGAAACACAATGCAAGTTTCAAGTACCTGGGTTTGACTTTGAGCTGCTGGACCACCAACGCAGCGCAGAACAAAGACTTGAAGAGGAAATGAGACCTCCTCTTGTACGCTCCAAATGTTTTTTAAGGACTTTTCTGGGTCTTGTGTAATTTTTCGTTCTTTCTGTGGTCTGGGGTGAGGCCAGGGAGGTCCAGAGGAGGAACAAGGGAACATTTGAATGCATCTTTTTTTTTTTTTTTTTTTTAGCAGAATCTGCATTTTAGTAAAAAGCTGCACCTCATCTGTTTCTACTAAAAAACACATTTTAGACAAATTAGAGCAGCCTGAGTGAGAGACGGTGAAAATCCTCACAGAAGCCAAAAAAAAAATGCTTAAAACGGTGTTAACTACAGAGTGCACACACAACAGAAAGAGGCAACAACAAAGCTATATATCATGATTGTAATGAGTGTTTGGCTCACTGGAGGGCGTGCTCTCGTTGCAGGACATGAGTTAATAACCTCAGCTATGCGGCTCACTGGCTTATGTCCACTTCCTCTCACATTTAGACGCTGATCTTGTTCTAGAGTTTTCTAAAGCTTTCGTTTGTTCAGTTTCATTCATTCCACTTATTGTCAGATTGACCGTCTCTCACTGTTGACCAGCATTATCACTCACATCCATCCCAGAAATGTTTTATTCATCAGCTGATCTGTCAAATGCTTGATTTCAGAAACTCACACTGGATCAAGAAAGTTAGGGCAGAACTTCAGTACAATTTTGAAGCAGTTTACTTGAGTATTTGCATTTAATGCTCCTTTAAACTCCTTCTCACTACATTTTCTCACTCACTTACGTTTATCTGACAGCTGTAGCGACTTTACCGAGTCAGGATTTGGCAGAAATAGTATGATAACATGAAAAACTGATCAAATATAATGATTTCTAGTCTGCTTTGTCGTGTGAGTTGTGTGTATTTCCACTAAAGACACATTTTTATTCTCTTATTTCACACAGTGCCCTTTAAAAAGCTGATAAGATTAAGACTTTCTTTATTGTCATTGCACAAAAACAACAATCGTGAATCTGACAACAAAATGTTGTTGCTTGGCTACCAGAGAAGACAGAACTGAAACTTGTGAGTATTGTAGAACGATAACTTTCTTTGCTTCAGGTCCAAGAAGGTAAAATGATTCAGTGTTAAACAAATAATCAAGCAAACCTAAAAAATAAAAAAAATCAAAGAAATAAAGAAAAGTAAAGTGAAATGCTACTTACACGATAATGTGTCAGAATTAAAAGTTTATTAGAATCACATATGATGTAGGAGAAAGAAGTACTTTAGTTTTCTCTATAGTTTAACTCCAATCTCGGCTCGAGATCTTAACTTACACTGAGATATTCTGACAGTGTGGTATTGGTAGTTTTACAGGATAGGAGTATCTTTGCTACCCCTACTTTAGTCTGACATCAGCTGCTTTTATAGATTAAACCTATTTGATGAAATCCATCCATCATCTATACACCACATCCTCACTAGGGTCACAGGGGGCTGGAGCCTATCCCAGTTGACTCAGGGTGAAGGCAGGTTCACCTGGACAGGTCACCAGTCTATCACAGGGCTACACTTAGAGACAGACAACCAAGCACATTCACATTCACACCTACGGACAATTTAGAATCACCAATTAACTTCAACATGTTTTTGGACTTGTGGGAGGAAGCTGGAGAACCCAGAGAGAACCCACACTGCACGGGGAGAACATGCAAACACCACATAGAAAGATCCCGGATGTTCTCACCGGGACGCGAACCAGCCACCTTCTTGCTGCGAGGCAACGATGCTACCCACCGAGATACTTTGCAGCCCTTAAAACTATAGAAAACTTTAAATTATTTCCACTGCTAAACATTAAAATTACGTTAAAGCATTGTTTTATGTACTCTTACATGAGAAAATATTTATTTCAGGACTGACTTCTGCTTTTTCTGAGTAGGTTGGCACATCTTTGACACTGAACTTTAAGCCCTTGTTGTAAATACTCAGTTTGTGGATGGGTCAGAAGCTCTAACAAACATGTATGTATAAAGCGTTTAAACATTTTTACTTTTAAAGCTCTGTTCAGTGATGACACTTCTTGGCTTCTGCACCGCTGACCTGCTCTCACCACGTCTTCCTGCTGCACATTAGCGTCGAGCCATCCTCTCATGCCTCTCATACCACAGACGGGATGCTTCCACATCTGGAGCACTTTTTGGCAGATGGGTCTGAAAGACATAAACACCACGGATCATTCCCACCGGGGGAGTCTGGGCCACTCACTGGACACAGAGAATAATCTCGGGCTGAAAAACGCCATCCACGTTCCCACATCTGCTTCTGATTAAACCTTTTACAGACAAAATTAAATTTTCAAATCTCCACTGCAGGCTTCTTGTTTTTTTCCCACCAGATGAAGAGAGACTCGGAGGTTTGTTGCTCACGGTTTATTAAACAGCTCATGTTGTTTATGCTCCCTGAGCACTTATTTCCAACCAAACATATGTATTGGGTTATTTATTGCTGACTTGGGTGGGGTGCAGCTGAGAAATAATTACTTTACAGCGACTATAAAGATAGAGGGCTAGCAACAACAACCTGCTGGATGTCAACCAAAGGTAGAAGGTTTACATCCACATGAGCGAGTGTCACGCATTCACGAAGAGCAGCTAAATGAGGCCCTTTTGAAAGAGTTTGAATTAAAGTTTGCTTTTTATCAATCAGCTTTCTAAGTTAAAGCCAAAGTGGAATTCCATCCCCACAAACATTAAACAAGCTTTGCAGTGTTTAAGCCTCAACATCTGGCTGACGTCAGCACAAACCGTCACCACCGATGACAACCTTTGATTTATTGCTTTTGCTGATTTTATTTATTATTATCTTGCACTGATGGACTTTCAGGTTTTGTATTGTTTTATGAAGTGTGTTTATGGCTCAGTGTTTGTTCTCTTTTACCTGCACATGCAAATGAGCTGCTCCAGTGCTATTACTTTTAATTATGCCCTGCAAAATAAAATTAACAAATAAACTAAATAGCTGCAATGTAAAAATGGTTTTCAACATTTCCTTTTTAAGGGTTGAACCTCTAAATAAGGACAGTCTAAAGAGGACAAGCTAGCATTTGGTGCTTGATTAAAAGAGCGGGAAAAGGCAGCTGGACTTTTATTAGGATTATTTGAAGAATTTTCTAACTGACTGATGAGGAGCCGCGTGTGCAGTATATAATGTCATCCCCAGCTCACCCGGCTAACAGGGATAGACCTCAAGACTGCATTATACAGTGGTCCTTAAATGTATTCATACCCTCCAATTAAAGAAGGAAAAGAACAGATGTCACTGAAATAAGTTGAAATTGACAAAAGTAATAATAAATGAAAATTTAATGAAAATCATGACGTTGCTTTTGAAATGTGGTTCAACAGAAATATTAACAAAAAAAAAAAAAAAGCATGACTGGACCTGTAAACTAATATTTTGTTGAACAACCCTTTGAGCCAATCACTGCAATCAGGTGCTTTCTGTAACTCTCAATCAGACTTCTGCATCTGTTGACAGGTATTTTGATTTCACTGCTCATCAGCAAAGTGCTCATACTTGACAGTTTTGCTTGTTTTTTTTTAAATTGTTCTTTTCAACCACAATTCAAAAGCAACATCTTATTTCATTAAATCATAATTTAGCAATTTTTTTATTTATTATTACACTTTTCACTTTCTAGTTATTTGAGTGACTGTTGTGAATTTTGCCTTTTCTTCAATGGAAGGGTCTGAATACATTTGACTCTAAGTGGTCTTGTTGACCCTCTCCTCTGTTTATAGATGTTCCAGTTTAATATCTTTTGTTTGTCTTCTCTGCACAGATTAGAACGGTTCACCACCATTAACACATCATGAGTCACGCCTCACCTGGCAGTTTCACAAACATTCACACCTCGAGTTACGTCAGTCTTGGGTCATTATCAGGCAATCAGCCATGTGATTCAACTCTGATGACAGGGATGATGGAGGATCTACACTCAGACTGACTTTATTAATCCCCAGAGGGAAATTAAGTTGTTACAGCAGCGTGAATATTCAACAAAGGGGTTAAACAAAAGGAACAAGGCAACACAGAATATTAGGGTAGGGTATAAAATGAAGGTAGAATAAAGTAAAATGAAATATAGAAAGAGGGCTGCAAGGTGACTCGGTGGTTAGCATCGTAGCCTCGCAGCTTGAAGGTCGCCAGTTTGCAATCCCAGTGAGGACACCCGGGATCTTTTTGCATGGAGTTTGCATGTTCTCCCCGTGCAGCGTGGATTCTCTCCAGGTTCTCCAGCTTCCTCCCACAAGGTCCAAAAACCTGTTGAGGTTAATTGGTGATTCTAAATTGTCCGTAGGTGTGAATGTGAGTGTGCTTGGTTGTCTGTCTCTAAGTGTAGCCCTGTGATAGACTGGTGACCTGTCCAGGTGAACCTGCCTTCACCCTGAATCAGCTGGGATAGACTCCAGCCCCCCATGACCCTAGTGAGGATTAAGCGGGGTATAGATGATGGATAACATAGAAAGAAAAGTCAACAAAACTTACAAGAATATACAAGAGAGATACAGAAACGTGCAAATGAACAGAATGTGCAACTGATAATGTGCTTATATGACGTAAGTAGGCGCAGATAAGTTTACAGATATAATGACTGATGTTAGAATGTAGAGTGTCCGCGATGTGAAGTGGTTTCTAAAGTGATCGAGTCCTTATGTGATCTGCCAGATGCACTGAAACGTCTGACCTCCTGTAACTCATGGGATGACAGAAGTGTTCACATACATCATTACAGGAACTAGAATGTTTACACCAAACTGTTGAAATGACATAAGGTCAGCCAGATTTAACCTTTGGGCCGCCGTGTGTGTTTGTACCACATTTAACCAGCGGATCCATTCAGCAGCCGTTGAGATGTTTTGTCAAAGTGGGTTTTTGTTTCATTGAGAGAACTTAACGTCCCACAGATTTTATTGATCTTAACACAAATACACCCAGTGAGACGGCACGCACAAACAACACTGAGTCACCAGTGAAGCAATCTGTTAACCAGAACTCCTCTGTACAGCTGGGAATTCAAAATAACATGACTGATATCTTTTCATGATGGGAAAAGCCTGGAACCAAGAGCACAAACAGCATTTACATAAAGTCTGATAATGGTAATAAACTGTCTTAATAGAGCACACAAGCAAAAGCCACAAACTGCTTGAATACATAAGAGCTGCAGCAGTTTCGATGGTCCAATGAAATGAAACCGTATCACTTATCCGTTATCATATCTGTTGAAGCTGACGGTATCAAAAGTTCTCTGCAGCGTGGCCTCACTGTTCCCACCGTGATGCTGTTACTGGTGATTAGGTGTTTTATTCGACCTAAATGATAAGATGCACGCTCTTGTTGGACAGTCAGCAGAGGAGCTGTTGGACTTTGGCTCGGTTTGCCCAGGTGGCACATGGAGCAGCAAGGGTCAGCACCGCGCTTCACTCACAGGCCAATGATGCTCAGCGTCTTTATCTCGTCCAATCGGATTCACGCTGCTGTGGGGCTGCTGGACTATAAGAAGTGTGGGAGTCCTGCATGAAGGTACCATCAGGTCCACATTCTCCTGCGCTACAGGTGAGTCGGATTCTCTTATGGGCTCGAGATGCATTTGATGCACTGAGTTTACTTCACATTTGATTTTTGAGACAAACACTTGACTAAAAAAATCTTACTGAAGAGTCTACGTATTTGATTTTTCCAGGAGCTACAGTTATAGTCTCTGAAACGTAAGCTTTTAAATTTAAGATGTAAGTTGGAGCTGGGACGCTGGTGGTGGCAGCACATTGTATTTAAAGACAGTAATGATATAGTTTCTGATATATTGTGCAGTCACCTGAAATGCAGTAAAAAAGCAGGAAAGACTGAATGTGATTGAATATAATGGAGATAGTTTTAAGGGAAAAAGCCTTTAAAGTAAGTAATGGACTGTACAATTGTGTGCTGGGCTTTTAAATTGTGTTTTATTTTAAGTTTTTACTGTTTTATTTTTATTTTTTCAACTAAATCTGACTGAAAATATGCGAGAATGAATGGATGAAAGTGTTTTCTTTGCCTTTTTCCAGAGGCAAATTATATAATTCTTGATCTTAACCTGTGATAAATTATTACAAAGGTTCATAGTTTACTCACTGACCTATTCAACAAGCACTTACTTAAGCTGTTGATAAGCCAGATAACGTTTATGTAAGGGCTTTGGACCATACACAAGGACTAGAAATATTTATTTTATTACCTTGTGACAACAAGTCAACCTGGGATTCCTAGAAAGCTTTATCAGTGACTCATCTGATGAAGCAACAGGGGACCTTCCTATACGTAACATCTGAATAAACAACTTTATAAAGCAGCCTTAAGGTTAAACTCAGGACAGGTGATTTTATTTTTTAGCATTAAAGTTGTCGAGGAGAGTTTAAATGCAAAATTAAACATGAAGTTGAATTTAAAGACATTTCATTGTTTTGTAGGTCTTATCCAGTCAGCAGTCATGAAATTCTCCCTCATCGTCGCCGTCGTCGTGCTCGCTCTGGCACAAGGTACGACCAGATTTATGCATTTATTAATAAAAACACAACTGTGGGAACAGAAGCCTCTTTTACTAAATTGTATTGTTTTTTTGGGAAACCCACAGGAAGCTTCGCTCAGGATTCCAGCGATCTTGAGAGGTTCGCTCAGTACTTTGAGGAAATGAAGACCAAAATGACTGAGATGATTGGGAACCAAGATCTGACAAACCAGGCCGAGTGAGTAGAAGAAGCACCGACACATGAGGACGTGCTTTTGGGCTCGTGTTCAGGATGACTAAGATCTTGCTGATGGTCACAGTGGACCTTGTTTGCTCTTAGTCACCAAGCAACTCACAGACAAACCTGTGCGAACGTCACAGTATGAGTTGTTCTGATAAGGACAACTTTACAATTATATATAACATATGATTGTATATAACTATATAAAATGATGTATTAATGTGTTACTATACTAATATATCAACTACCAAGCAGTAAATGAAGTTAACTTCACCTGGAACAACTACAGTATTTCATTACCATGATTATAACCTTCAGTAACAATATATCAGTGTAACAGCATTTATTATCAGCAGTCTGAGTACTTTTAGTTTAAAAATAATCTTTTCTGAGGTGATACTGTTAATGCAGATCATTTTACATGTAATAGAGTGTTTTCATATTGCAGTGTTGCTACTTTTACCTTCTTCTCAGTATATAAATCAATGGAAGAGCTCCGTTGTACTGATTGATTGTAAAACAGAGCCCCTCTCCACTCACCTCTACCATCAGACCTCACAAACACAACGCAAAGTTTGTCTCAAGCTTTTCAGTACCCGTTATAACACACTACTAGCAGTCTGTGTTGCCACATGCAGGTCAGATGGGTGCATTTCTCAGTCTAACATGTGACGGTTTTATCATATTCCTCCCTACAGCAACTTCAGGAGGACCCAGCTGGAGCCTCTGGCCGCTCAGGTGCAGGAACAGCTGAAGAGCGTTGCCACCAACGTCGAGGAGCAGGTAAAGCCCCTGACCGCCAACATCCAGGCCCAGCTTCAGCCCATGCTGGTGGACTTCAAGAAGCAGATGGAGGACATCCTCCAGAAGCTGACAGAGCAAGGCAGAGCCATCGCCAACTAAATCAGCCGTTCTTCCAAAAGACTCAAACGTGCCACCGCAAAGCCATCTTCCGTCGTGGACCGAGTTAATGGAGCTCCGTGTGTCTGAAGGCTGGCCTGTGTTCAGGGAGCCTAAAATGTGTTTCAGTGCTTGTTGACGTTAAAATCTCTGCCACACAGCACAATAAAAAATAAAGAAACATGGAACACAACTTCACATTGTCAGTGTCTCTCATTTTGATCGATCAACGAACGCTTAAAACACATTTAGAGGATAACTGAGAATTAGATCAGGCTGCTATGAGGTGATCAGAACAGGTTTATCCTTGCTTCTGGAACAGCAGACAGACACATACTAATTGTTTATAAGTTTTATTCAAGCAAGCGAAGGTCAGGGGAAATTTCACAGCAGGCTTCTACAGCCCAAACATTCAAACATTTAAAAGGGATAAAATGGCAGAAAAGAATGCTTTCAGTCCTATTTTGTCACAGAAGTCTCCTAAAACCCCTCAAATTGACCATTTTTTAATTTTCTTTTTTTTCTCTTTTTTTAATGCATTTTTTCCTTTAAATTCAACAAACCAGACCTACTGTTTTTCATCTTAGGTCTGGCTGGAGATTTGTTTCCATTGTTTTTTTTGTTTTTTTTTAAATATATTATTTGACTTATTTTTACTTTGTTTTATGTATTTTTTAACTTTTTCACTGTGAAATTTTTTTCTCCATCGGTGAAGCTGGTCTCAAGGTTCCCCTTTCCTGTGAAAACAGGAGAAACAGAATTACTGATGGGACCTTTTCATATGACATTTCCACACAATTTGTAAGCAGAATACAAGCAAAACAAACGCATGCACCTCAAAACCATCACAGCTCTGTAGTAAATCTGAGACTACATTTGCAGATACGCAGTCAGGAGAATAATGACTGTAAATTGGTACACTTTACAAGTTGAGAGGTGAGTTCAGTGTAGAAGCAGAACTCCTGACAGCACTGTCCTCTCGTTGTTAAAGCAGCTCTGGAGAACTAATTGTACCTTGGGTTCAGACACTTGGGACGCCAGTTGAATTTGTCACTGTCTTCTGGGCAGCCTCCTTGGCCTGATGAGCCTGTAGAACAGCCACCGCCTCATCCACCTAAAGAGACAACGATGATTAATGTTAGCAACACCACAACATCCGGCGGAGATTTCTAAAGTGCTCTGCTTCCACAGCATCCACTTTTCCTGCATCTAAAACATACGTTCAGTCACAATCAATTTCCAGTGTCGGTGCTGGAAATGTTTCCTCATGACATTTATATCAAGACCAAATTAATGTTAAGTCACGGTGAACTCTTCATCGAATGAACCACAGGAAGCTGCTGTCGATATTAACAAACTTAACCACTGACCTTCGAGCGGAGAGACTCTGGTGACTCCAGCATGTGGAGCAGCTCTGAGTTGTCAATCTCCAGCAGCATGCCGGTGATCTTGCCTGCCAGGCTGGGATGCATGTTCTGGATCAGTGGAAACAGACGCTCACCTGCAGGAATGACAGATAGAGGATTTACAACAGGATGTAATCAACACCTTCCAAGGGCCTGGGGCAATACCATGTAAACACATACAACATACAAGGAAGGATGGAGAAACCAACAACGAGCTAACGTGATATGACTAAGCCTTACCCAGCATCTGCTTCTGTTCCTGTGGCGGAGCAGCAGCCAACATGGAGGCAGTCAGAGGTTCCTGTCCCTGAACGTGAACTGCAGGCTGTCGGAAACAAACACAGAGAGAGGTTTTTTAGCGCAAATCCAAACAGAACTTTATTCCTGCGACGTAAGTCAGAAAAGGCCACTGGACAAAGAAATGTGCATTCCCACCTGCTGCATGGTGACTTGTGGCTGAGTGGTCATGTGCTGCTGGGGGTTGCGGACTCCTGCGGCGTACTTGTATTGAGGTACTCCACGCACGGGAGCGCCTGCTGCAGCAGCTGCAGTAGCCGGGCGAGGGCCCATGGTCTGAGCTGCTGAGACAGGGGCCAGCACGGTGAGAAACGTCACAATGCACAAACAGACAACATTTACACAGCTAATCTGTGTTTGCTGAGCAGTCGGAAAGACTATTGATTGTGTGTAAATGACTTACCGACACGCTGGGTGGACATCATGCGGGGCACCTGGGAGGCAGGCCGCATCGTACTGAAGGTCTGGGGGCGTGGTGCTGAGGGGCGCATGGCACCTGGCATGTTCTGGAAGTCTATGAACACGCAAAACCGCAGCAGTTTAATGTACAGCAGGAACAACAGACAATCTTAATGTAATGTCTTGAAAACAAGACACAGTGATACAGGACAAATACTCACGCTGTGGCCGGACACCTTGTGTGGTCCAGCGAGGGCTTGGGCGGAGCTGGGCCATCTGGCCAGCAGCTGGGTAGTAAGCAGCTCGGTTCTGGGCCTGAGGTATGGCTGCCATAAAGTAGCCGGAGGGCGGGGCAGGCTGGTACGGGTTGATGACTGGATTCGGCACTGCACGCACACTGGCCATGCGCTGCATGTACTGGTTGGTCAGGTGGGCCTGCCGCTCCTCTTTCCTCTGGGCCAGGGCCACGTACAATGGCTTGGTGGCTACAATGCGTCCATTCATTTCTGTCACAGCTTTGGTGGCCTCCTCTGGAGACGAGAAGCAGACAAAGCCAAAGCCTTTGCTGCGTCCGCCTTCCATCATCACCTGACACACAGACACAGAACTTTAATGTTAAAGTTACATGAATTCCACATAATCAAGTAATACTAACTCTATAATTTAGGATATATTGAGCTGAAGAGCATCGGTACCAGTTATTAGATGGATAAAAAACAAACAAACAGCTGAGCTCCTACCTTGGCACTGGTTATGGTGCCAAACGGTGAGAACTCCTTGCGCAGGCGTTCATCATCAATTCCATCATCGAGGTTCTTCACATACAGATTGACACCCTAAAAATAATTAGAAGTAAACTTGTGTTCTTTTTTTTTTTTTTTTAATTCTACGCATCAGGCAGGAACAATCAAACACCAGTGGACTGAAAAATTCCTTAAACTGTTTATTTTTTTTGTCTGCAGTACATATTTATCCCCAGGATCTATGGTGAAGAAACGTGGGGCCCATGAACTACGAGGTCGCTGTTGCAGCTGTTTCGGCCAGAGCAGCCTACTGGGGAGGAAGCACCGAATTCGACAAAGCTGCACACTTCACTAGACCTGTCTGACAACATTTTAAAACAATTTGATGAGAGGCTATAGTGTGCTAACATTGTTATTTGTGTACATTTTAATCAGTAGATGCTAGAAAAAGAAACTGACCTGGTAGCGGGTCATACGGTCTTGTTTCATTTGTTCGAATTTGCGCTTCAGCTCCGTCTGTCGCTCCACCTTCTTCTGGGCACGGCCCACGTAGATGAGCTTCCCGTTCATCTCCTTCCCATTCATCTCATCCACTGCCTGAAGTAATCGAGGAAACACAATCAGCTTTGGGGAGCGTTTCCTGGTGGTGACTAAAAGAAATATGTTGACGGCTCAAATCTTACCTTCTGGGCGTCCTCGTGCCTTTCGAAGCTGACAAACCCAAAGCCTCGAGACTTCCCGCTGTCATCTGTCATGACCCGGATGCTCATGGCATTTCCTAGGCAACAGAGAGATCCCCTAATGATTACTTTGCTCAATTGAGTTTCCCTGCTGATAATCAAGACAGACGCTGTTTATAGCAGCAACAGAATCAAGTCATTCTAAACAGCAGCTGGAAATGTGGACGCCCCGACTGACCGTATTTACTGAAGAGTTCCCTCAGCTTCTCATCGTCCATGTCTTCACCAAAGTTTTTGATGTAGACGTTTGTAAACTCTTTGGCTCGGGCACCCAGCTCAGCCTCGCGCTCTTTGCGAGATTTGAAGCGACCCACGAATCTGCGTTGGATTTACATTTAGCAGAGATTAAAAACAGGATTTGTCAGTTGTGCATGTTTACTAAACTAAACAAGCTGCCTTTGCTCATCATTGCACATTTCTAATCATAACACACACTTTAAAACTCATGAACGAGCTGTGCATATAAAACAACAGACTATTTGCCACAAATCTGTTCCGTCAGTCATCTTTTCAAAGACACATCGACTAAAACAAACATAATTCTGCAACCTTCAAACTCCATTAGACCAGGTGCAATACTAATTTTACAAAAAAAAAAAAGAGTCTAAGTTAGTACAAACAGTTCAAAACTAGTTAAAACATTCACTTACACTTTTCGGTCATTGAGCAGCATGCCATTCATTTTTTCAATGGCACGTTCTGCTGCTTCCTGAGTCTCAAAATGCACAAAGCCGTAGCCTTTAGAGCCATTCTCGTCACAAACCACCTTCGAGAAAGAAGAAACATGCTGCTTTTAAGCCACACACACACACACACACATGCAGCAACACTATCAAACCTGAACTTCCTGTTGGACTCACACCTGAATATCAGCTGTCTATTTTACGAAATAAAACTGACATGCTGTGTCTTTTCTTTCTTTTTGCAAGAGGATTTGGGTATTGTTAAAAACCTAAATCACATTTCTGCTCATCATTTCCCATGAATGCATTTCATTCACATGGTGTACGGTTCATAATCCTTCTGTTAATTTAGGCATAAATTAATAAAATATTCCTCCTTTGTAGCAGAAACCCCACGTCTCACAATCTTCTATCTGCAGGCGTAGCTCCAAACAATGACGCATTATTATTATTTGTACATACTAAGGTTAGAAGTGAGTGTTTTGTTATTAGCAATTAGGTCAAACATCTGTTAAATGGGGAGAAGGTTGTACACAACTCCAGACATCTCCAGGAAAGCACTCACATGCAAAGTGAGCACACAATTACACAACAATGACAGCTAACCATCCCCCCTCTCCTCAGGTTCAGGTTACATACAACAAGCCACCAGCACTTTACCTTGCATGACAGGATGTTGCCAAAAGCAGAGAAGGTGTCATAAAGAGCCTTGTTGTCGATAGACTTGTCGAGGTTCTTGATGAAGATGTTTCCCACGCCGCTTTTTCTCAGCGATGGATCACGCTGCGACCACATGATGCGTACAGGCCGGCCCTTGATCACATCGAAGTTCATGGTGTCCAGGGCGCGCTCAGCTAAGGAGAGGAACACACGGGGTTGTTTAATACATTTAACATTTCATGTGATCCTTGGTGAGGGACTCATCGGCTATCGGTGTCCTCAGATGGCAGCATATGAGGCTGGGGTTGGTCCTGGAGGGGGGTTCTGGTGGTGAAAGCCTTGAACAAAATGTTTTCCAGGTTTTTCTTTGGGTCGTTTTAAAAGACTTAAAAGGGCCAATCAGCACAGTCACTGTGTTTAAGCATATTTACATTAGTCCTGATGATGTCAACTTCCTTTTAGCGCTTTACCGCAGAGAAGCCTGACAGTAGGCGTTGCTGCATTAATCTACTTCCTGTGGTCTCGAGTTACAAACTGGGTCCTTCTGGTCACCAGTACATCTGCGTAACTGAAGTTTGCTCATCAAGACCAGTACAAATATTAGATATATATTGACTAGTAATGACAGCTTCACATAAATAACCTTGTTTGTAAGTTAAAGTGGGGCTTATCTTACTTTAGCTGAATTATTTCTGAATGCATTAACTTCAGTTGCTTCATACTTTGGGTATTTAATCCTATATTAACAGTGTGATCTAGAAAATGTCAAAAAAAATGGCCACCACAGTTTCCCAGAGCTAAAGCTGACATGTACATCGTGATTGACGTCAAAAACCACCAAAATATTCAGTTAATTATCAGAAAAGATGCCATGAACCAGCACGTGCTCACATCTGAGAACATGGAAGGGGTACTTTTTGACATTTTCACTTAAAACTGCAAAATAAATCATCAATGAGCCCTGTACTAATTACAGAGTTCATTGCCAATTCTGTACTAATTAACCAACTAATCATTTCAGCTACGTGATGACAGATTCACTGAATAGCATCATCCCATGATGCCTCTGAAAATAAGTTAACTGGACCAGAAATAAGCAGTAATAATTGGCCACGATGTCCCAGTAATAGTGTTGAATGAATCCAATATGTGCAAAATAACAGGAGTGCTTACAAATAGCACCATTCTAGGTAGGGTCAGGGGAAGTAAGATGGTAGAAATTTGCCATTTTACCATTTCTTTTGAATACTTTTAGGCACAACTATGATGCATTTAAGAGTATAAAAACATTACATTTTCTGCATTATTGACCACATGACCCCCCATAGATGTCTTGTACCATATTGTTAGTGAAAAACTGACACACCAACAACTTCAGCACAGACCTCAGTGGGAAAAAAACAAAACAAAACACACACCCAAGAAGTCCAAAGCAGACCTGGGCTCTTATCAGCGGTGCACAGAAGATGTTTGGTGGGGGGTAGATTTGTGGCTCACATAGATGGAGCTGAACTTTTTGTTTCTTAGTAAATGACATATTATTGTTAACCTGCCTGATACAGATTAATGTTCTTATGACAGCTCAACTGGCAAGCACAGGTTGTGTCTGTTTGCACACCAATATGAACAAAATGTGTTGAGAATATTGAGCTGGGAGGGGGGATGAGGGGGGGTCTATCCTCCAAACATTCTGGGCAGGTTTACTTTTACTGCTGTGTCAGAGGTTTTAGGATTAACGGTTGGGGTGTTGTCCTGACAGAAAAGAGATAAAACCGGCGCTGAGCATCCAGCTGGCAGTTAGCGGCGCACTGCTACATGGTCCGGGTGGGCAGGGCAGGGCAGGGCAGGGCGGACACGCTGCTCTGCTGCTACGCCACTGCTGGGAGGTTCAAATGAGGAGACCCTGCCGACAACATGTCGGCCGCAGTCACGTGTAGTAGAAATGGGCTAGCTCTCACTTGTCACTGACTTGTCATTTTAAAGCACAGAACTGTTTATACGCATTTTATCGCCCCCTCCTCTATTTTAGCGTGTGTGTTTTGATAAACTGCTTACCGTCCGCTGGCTGCTGGAAGTTGACATAGGCGTATCCGAGGGAACGCCGGGTGATCATGTCCCTACAGACCCGGATCGAGAGGATAGCTCCAGCTGGGCTGAATTTCTCGTACAGCATGGCTTCGGTCACATCTTGATGCAGGTCCCCGACGTACAGGGAGGCCATGGGGTAACTGGGAGCGCTGGGGTTCATTTTCTTCTTCTTCTCGTCGGCCGCGGAGGCTAGCAGGAGTAACCGGACCAAGCTTTGTTTTAGCTAACCCAAAAAAAGTTTTCGGCGACTGTACGGATGCTTGGTTCTCCAACGGTCACTGGCGTCACGTCAGTTTGGGGCAGAATGCTGATGTTGAACGTTATACAACCGCTGACTTGTCAGTTGGAGTGTTTTTGTAAGAAAAATCTACAGAATTAGTTCACTAAAATGACGCGCCGCCGACTTCTAACTGGATTAAAACTGTCATTCAAATTTGACAAGCAAAGATAAGAGCAAATGTAGCGTTACTTGGCCTGGCTTCACAATCAGTAACACGTCGACTGAATTTTTTTTTTTTTTTTTTTTAGGCAGCCCCTTCTTGTACGTTACCGTCCAGTCCTCGAAATGTCTACTCCAGCTTCACCGACTTGTTACAAAAAGGAAAAAAAAAAAGAAAAGAAAAAAAGAAAAAAGATTTTTTGGTTTTTTATGTTTTGAATTTTTTTTGTATTTTTATTTTTTTATAGAATGTGTGCCGAGCGAGCTCAGAGCACACACGCACTCACACAGCACTGACAGCCGGGGTTGAGGGGGAGCAAGGCAACGGGAAGCGGCTCCTTATATACCGGTGGGCGCGTCACCGGAATGGACCAACCAGTTTCTAGTGTCGTTGAAAAAAAAGTCAACAAAGGGGCGTTGCCCACAACTGTACGCATGATGATGAAATCATGTAAAACGTATTGTTAAAGGCTGGAATTGCCTTATTGTGTTGACAACAATACCTTATTGTTAAGTGGAGCTGTGCTAGACTTGCTTGTGTATATTATGGATGATAGTGGTTTGGAATTACATGCAGTCTTGCCAGCAATAATTAGAATTACTAAATCCAACTGCTATGTAGATGCAGTGTTGGGAATACCACAGGCTGATGATTCCTTAGCCTTAGGGGTGACATTATGCTGCAAGGGTACCACATGACATCCCTCATTTGATAAGTGGTGAGGTCATTCAAAACTTGTGATATGCAGGAATACATCACACACAAACATCTTCAGGGGTAGCAGTTTACAGAAATGTGATGTCCAGCCCTCATATCTGCTGTAATGTCACTCTTGCTATAAGGGTGAGAATCAAAGACAGAGCTTCATTACTCACGCTAAGTCACTCATCAAATGTTAATGTAAACGGGTAATGTGATAGACTTACCACTGATCATACATTTGAGACTAGCAGGGTGGTTGTGATTTGTAAAAAGAAAATTGTTCAGTCAGGCTTAAAATGACAATCTTCTGTCTCGTGGAACATCTGCATGCATCACATGGCTCTTCAGTCCTCACCATCTGCAGAGGGCAGTGTTGTCAGGGAAAAGCATGCATCCATGTGCAATCAAACCAGAGCACTGCAGTCTCTAGTGCCACACTTGGCAGTTTAATTTATTTATTTTTTCACCAGGAAAACCCACTGATGTAATAAAAATATTGATTTTTTTAATGAAGCAAACTACATTATTTTAATCAGGCTGTGTCCCTCTTATGATCCAAAGTCATAGCTTAAATTTCACCACTGCTGTGTTAAGTGAAGGCGAGGACATTCACTAGCAGCCACTTTAACTACATGTGACAGCCCTAATTTCTCTGCGTTAACATGCTCCGGATGTCTCCATGTGACCAGCTGACATGGGAAATACGGGGAAACTGAGCTGATGAACCTACAGTGGCCTTGCACAGCATCTCATATGGGTGACTCACGTGGAGCCAAACTGTCTGATTGTACACGATTTTGAAGAACTTTAATTTAAATTTCGAAGTACACTATGTCTATTATGTGGCACAGCTCATTATCTGGTACTAAAATAGTATTTTCTTACAGATTTTTGAGTCACGAATTCATTACCTTGATGCATCTGGTAAACAATTTCATGGTTTAACTGCAAAAATTTAACAAAATGTAGTCAGCTATAATGGTTTTAAGCAATTTATTTTAAAAAAGAAATGAGGAAATAGTATCAGAATATATACATTTCATTACTACTGTGCTCATGGCACTGTCCTAATTAGTGTTTTTAATTACTGCAATGTGTAGTCTTTGATTTGCTGAAATGATATGAATAGATAACCCGGATCCAATATACTGTGTTTGTACCGTTGTAGCAGCGCAATGCTTAAAAGCAAAGCCAGAAATAAAACGGATGTGAAAAGCTGTTTACTTATTATGGTAATGAAACATTTTTTTTTTGCATTAAAATATGTTATACATATATTATACAAATATTATACATTAGGTAGGTGATATCCACTCACCTTAAGCTCATTGAAGAGCCTGTAGTTGGAAAAAAAAGTTTCATATTTCTAAATAAAAAAGGTATTGATTTCTTTCCCCCTTACAATTTGTGAAAAAAATAAACTCCAAAATGTGCACATGGAGCAAAATTTCAAGTTGAATAGTGAAATCACATTGTGTTCGATGTAAAGGAAAGTTCTGTGAATGTCTTATGTGAGTTGTACCATGTTCAATATAAAGACACCCAGAGCACACCATACTCCATTTGAATGTTTTTATTCCACTTACATGAAAGCACATAACCAAGTAACATACTCAAGGGTGTAACTTGCAAGTTCTGAATCCCTCATCCCATCGCTTGTTTTTTTTTTTACGTTTGTTTTTTTTATTTTTTAAACCAAGACACTGTAATTAGGAGAAACTGGCACTACTTTGTGACTACTAAATGGCTTTAATGCAGCTTTCTACCAAGTTACTTTGTTATTCAGTTTATATTAAGCATGGTTTTAGTTTGTCTTTTCACGATGTACTTTTAACGAAGGTAAATGTTACTGTAAACCACCTGGTTCGAGCTAAATCCTAAGCAAAAACTGCCCCGTTCAAAGCACATCTAACCCTCACACCGTACTACTGAGAACTACGTACATTCCAGGAGTCAAATCAAGAGTCAAAGGGAATAAAATACACCAAAAGAAAATACAAAACACCTGAATAGAAAAAGAGTAGAAAGCCATATAAAAGCACATGGCAAAAGTATTCTCTGCACTGCTGAAGAGATAAAATATCAAAAGTTATAGTATTGAGCCATTTTTACCAAGTTGTTCACTTTATCTTAGGCTGTTCATACCTTGTTGCGCGGTATGCAAAATTGCAGGAAATTATAGTCTACACATTTCACTAGGAGTGAAAAGATGTCAGTAAAATGGAATGTAATCTTCTCAACCAATCCGTCAGCCAAAGTTTCAACTACAGTTTTCAGAAGTAGCCGTCGTACTGAATGTCGTTCCTATGCCTGAAGGCACATTGAACCCATTGAGCCATGACACATGTACCATCCATAAAAAACACTACCTGCTACACTGGACACCGACAACGTGGGATGGATACGTAGATCTTTACCAAGGTAAAACCTGGCTACAGTACGAATATAATCGTACATAATCACTGCTACTGACAGATGGAAAAATTTAGTGAATGTGACTATTTTTTAAATTTTTACACTTAATGTTGCTTCAAAGGAGTTCTGTGGACCAAAGTGTCACAAAGGTTTTAACTGTTCAGTTCAAGTAAAAACATACAAATGATCAAAGTTACAGATAGAGGTTTTTTTTGTTTGTTTTCCTGCGACAGCAGCGGTTTGCTACAGTGAATAAGGTTAAAGACCACGGGGCTGATTTGGATCTAAAGGAGGGATTTCATCTGAAGTAGGACAGACAAAAAAAAAAAAAAAACTAAAAAACAAAACAGAAATATGAACATTCACTGGTTCACACAATGAGTAATGTTCAAAAGAAAAACTTGATCCCATTCTTTTCTGTGTGTGTGTGTGTGTGTGTGGGGAGGGGAGGGGGGGTGCTCAAACAATTAACATACACGCTTCAATGCATCTGCACACACATACTGTACTTTACACTGCGAGTGTGGTGTGAACATACATATCTGTGCATGTATGTGCACACACAACCACGCACACAACTTAGGCTGGTGAGAGGTAAAAAATGTGTGTGTGTGTGTGGTTTTTGTTTGTTTTTTTTTCCTTTTCTGAAGTTCAGTTCTTCTCAGCTGTCTGCTCCGTTGCGTCTCCTGCACCATCACATTGACCCTCGGGCTCGGTCTGGTTGTCTGACGTCCACAGCTGCAACAGAGCACAGGACAACGGATTTAACGCACACTCAGGAGGACGGGGAGAACCTTTGCAGTTGAAATATTCTGGTCTGAAAAGTAATTTAAAAACAAGACGCTTACTGTCAGATTGTCACGGAGCAGTTGCATGATCAAGGTGCTGTCTTTGTAAGAGTCGCAGTCGAGCTGGTCGAGCTCAGCGATGGCATCGTCAAAGGCCTGGAGCAGACAGAGACACCAATCAGTACGTTCAAAACCAACGCTCAGGCTCCCAGAAGTGACCAGCTTGTGATCATTTTAAATAAATAGTGGTAGGGCAATAATGAGGAGGACGAGGAGCAGTTTATATAGCTCTGGATAAAAAGCGTACATTTGAGCTGTGACACCACAAATAATTTTAAAGGTGATGAAAGAGACGAGGACTTTTGAGAATGACAAAACAAGTAAATATGTCTGCATAAAATGTGGCTTGAAACACTATTAAGATAAATATTAAACTGAAACGTTAAAATTGTTATTGCATTTACGATGAAGACATACCCCAACGTGTAAACCTCTACCTGACAAACATAAAGGAACCGATCCAAAAATCAAAATTAAATAATCTAAATACTATTACTGTGATTTTTGGTTGCAAGACAAAACATATTTTCATGTCAGGGACTGTTTGACCTTTTGCAAACACTTGACTGCTGAGAGGTGCATGAAAGACTCTCATCTCCCCCCTATCTCTCAGTATAGCAACTGTTTAGCTTAGCATAAAGTCAGGAAACAGCCAACCAGGCTCCGTCCAGAAGCAATCAAATCTGCCCACCAGCACCTCAAACACTCACAAATCAACACATTGTATCTGGACTGCTTACAAAAAGCAAAGTGTAAAAACAACAATTTATTGTTTTATTGAGGGTTACAGTTGTCTTGGTCCATTTTTTAAAAATAACCAAAGACAAAAACATTCTCCTTTCCCCCCTTCAATCCAATCTCTTGTTTGAGATGTCAACTGAATGCTAAATTATGGGGTATTCATGAATAAAAGTTGGGTCAGATAACCCACCTTTCAATTACTGCTCACACACCCAAAGGGACTATGCAGACCATAGAATAATATGATACAGTATATCACTCCTGTTTAAACCTCTTGTCACTTCTCTTTCAGTATGTCAACTTTAAGATCTTACTGATGACAGAACGCCGATTCCAGCGGCTCTGGAACAATCATGCCCAGAATCTCATCAGCTCAGAGACCAGAAACCTCTTTTAAGTCCCTTCTTAAAACATGCGTTCAGTCACGGGGCCTTTCTCACTCCAACTACACTTCTCATTTTCTTTGACTTGTCCTGTTTCTTTAAAACCACTGCTGATTATTTCTATAGCTATAGCTGATCACTATAGTAAAGTTTACCCTGACTATCCTACATGGGAGTGAACACCATGTTTTACGGTGTTTGCTGCTGGATCTGATGAGTCTAGCAGGAACTCCCTGACTTGCTCTTCAGTGTGGTGTGAACTCCAGTTAACAGGCATTTGTCACAGAAGACAGGTGGAAATTACAAAATTTGTGCTGCTGAATTCCTTTTACCGTAATTTCCGGACTATTGAGCGCACCTGAATATAAGCCGCACCCATTAACTTTAAAAAGAAAACAAGTTTTGTGCATATGCAGGCTGCACTTGTCTATAAGCTGCAGGTGTCCACGTTGTAACATGAGATATTTACACAGAAAGATGTTACACAGGAAGATTTTTTAAACTTTTAATTAAATACGTACCGGTAACATACACAAATACGTAAATGCTTTTTTCCAAACAGTGCCTGTAACACGGCTGGCTAAGAAAATAAAAACTACAGTAGCCTACCAGGAAAAGTCATTGATCGCTATCTTCATCTTCCTCCTGCACTAAAACCACTAAAGTCGTCTCCTTCAGTGTCGGATTTCAACAGCCTCAGAATTACTTCGTCACACACTTCCTCAGTCTCTCTTTTGTTGTCGCTCTCAATGTCACTTTGGTCTCGAGGCAAATTCGCAAAAATCGTACAAATCCATAAATTAGACGCATCGTTCAAAGCGTGTGGAAAAAGAAGCAGCTTATAGTCCGGAATTTATGATAGTTGATTCGGTTTCCTCATATGCTGACTCACTGCCACAATATCATGGTCTGATGGGACAGTAAGTTGAACACAGTCAGCTTAGTACACCAGTGCTTTTCCTGCTTCCACCCTGATTGGTTCAGGTCTGAGTCTTAAAGGCAGAATCTCAGCTGTAACATTAACTAACTTGTTATACATAAACCAAACCTATGCTAACTTCATATCATACTCTCCAGCAGTTTCAGGACTATTCTACTTGCAGAGGCGCCACATTGAGTCTCAATGAAATCAAACAAATGAAACACCAATGAGTAGAGGATTCCTACCTCCTTGGCCAGCTTGCAGGCCTGATCAGGTGAGTTCACAATCTCGTAGTAGAAGACAGAAAAGTTCAGAGCGAGGCCTAGGCGGATGGGGTGTGTAGACTTCATTTCTTCCTTGCTTATATCGAAGGCGTCTTTGTAGGCCTTTTGTGACTCCGCAATGGCATCTTCACAGAGGAAAACAGACCAGTCAGGAGGTTTCAAATGACAAAAACAAGATTTCTGCAGCATTTATGTGTGAGTAATGACACATGTTTTACTGACTTTTGATATCTGTATAAACCTATACAATGTTTACACATTAACAATACAAAAGTGTAGTTTAATGTCAAATGAGACCAAGAAAAGCAGCGAATCTCATTAACTAAGAAGCCAAAACCAATAAGTGTGTGGCAGTTTCTCACACACAAACACACACACAAATTTGTTGATTAATATGGTTGCTTCATCCCCACTGTCTGGTGCAGTTAGTTCAAATAAACAGGAAAAAACAGGAATGAAGTAAGACAACTAAAATTCTCCTCAAAACTTTCAAAAATTTCTTAGAATAAACCCTGTGAGAAAGGTCAAACATTTTAGGCGATCAATGTCTCAACGGAAAATAAAACGACCCCTGATGAACAGCCAGAGTCAGATTGAAGAATTACTTATTCATGACAAAACAAGGTGTCATCTAGAAGTGTTAATGGATAAGATGCTTTAAAGTACAGACGATTTTATAGAAACAAATCTATAATTTACAAGACAACAACCTGAAATCAAGGATTAAAATTTTTTTTTAAAAAGCATCACTTGGGCAGTTTCCACAGCCTACAAAAATTTCTAAAATGCCTCCCGGCAACCAGTCGCAGCCAACGCCCAGGTTTCGTTCCTGTTGCCATGACAACCCAGCAGCTGCCTTTGCCTGCATTTCAGCTGACAGGTGTAGGTCAAGGACAGGGAGGATGTGAGTGTTCTAGCCGCAAGCAGCACTTGAAGCAAGCTAAGTTCCTTCAAGCTACAGATAATTGTAAGGACAGCTAATCAGCACAAATTCCACCCAGCGTACAACAACAGACAATCACACAGCAGCGTGTGTTTATAGGAGGAGGTTATCTGTTTGAAATCACTCGCATACTTTTCGTGAACTCCTTGTACAAGAATGCATCAGATTTGCTTGAGTGGCTGCTCGAGAGACAAAAGGAAAGATTTTTTGACCAACATGTGAGGTGTGCTGTATTTACCCTCCTTGCATTGCCCACTGGCCACCTCGGCTTTGTAGCGGAAGTAGTCTCCCTTCATCTTCAGGTAGAAGACTTTGCTCTCACAACACTTTGCGTTGGGGAGTAGACAATTGTCGAGCAGGTCCTGCAAGTGCACATGTGAAACTTTAACGCCAAATGCATGGAACTCAACACAAAACTGTAATAGCAGTTCGAACAGGTATGTCAAGTGTGCGACCTGAACCATGTGACAGATTTTATATTTCAGATCTGCTTTAGAGGATAACACCATCCTCACTTTAGCAGGCCGCTCATTATTGGATCCTTTACCATCACCGTCAGTCATTTTCTAGGTTTTAAACTGTACATATTTATTATTTTCACCTCCTGCTTGTTGATTGTAAAGTGATGTATAAATAAAACATTTGGGGGGTGCTGACAGGTGAATGACAGCAGGCAGAGCAAACGTATCAGAAATAGGAAATAAAACTCCACTTCCAGTCTACCACGTACATTATAACACAAAGAAAAACATCTTACCCACCCCTGTGTCTGGGTACAAACGTATACGATGCTACTTTTTTTTCCCCACTGTCCATTAACACTGAAAGTTAAATGTCACAAAATGAACTTCACTGTCAAGAGAACTCGCTACTTTCTGTACGAATCGGTTGCCTGCAGCTTCAGACTAAGCTCGTTAGATGAGTCGTTAGTGTGATTTTTGTAAAGGGGCATCTTACTACACTTATCCCAGGCTCCTACCCAAACACACCTAAACATGTGACATCATGCTCATCTACAACTGCTATATTTTACACTTTATAAGCACTGTAACCTCATTATTGATAAGTCTTATTCATAACTTCCTCTAGCTGTGTGTGCATGTGTCTATGGGCCTGTTGGTTGCCTAATTAAAAGGCTGTTTTGTGGATAATGATGTCACTGATTTTAAAAGAGGAAAAACAAAACTTTTGCATGCCCCATATCCTAGCCCAGCTTCTACTGTTTTGAGTTGCTGGAGGAGATGGTGGCAGCTAAGCAGCACAGCCCAATATGCTGGACATCCTCACTGTGGACGATAAACCCAGAATCCCATGAATATGCAAGTGAGCTGGCATATTCAGTACCAGCCTCACGTGTACCGCATAGTAGAAACTCAACTGGAAATAAATCAGTTAAGCCAAAGTTCGTGTGACATGCAGGGAAATTATTTAGTTGAGTTCTCCAAGTTAATGGACAGTGGAAAAGGGGGAGAAAAAAAAAGGTTAGTGTCCTCATGAAATGGGAAAATGTAATCGGGGACAATATTTTCCTTTTTTTTTTTTTTTTTTTTAAATGGTACTTGATGGGAAAACACACTGAGCATTCAGACCACCTTCAGTGCAACAAACGTATGTGTCTTTATGGAATCAAATAGGAGTGGATAAGTTCAATAGGTGTGGATCAACTTTAAAGGGGATCCATGGGTGAAAAATTGCAAATATTCACGCACACCAAAGTGACACACTGTCTTTCAAAAAGCAGCATAGCCCTGCCTGAACGAACAGAACCTTGAGAATGACGGATCCTGTGGACATGTACTAGAGGCTGGCTTTTTACTTTCCACTCCCATAAGTTTGCAAGGGTGATAAAAATTCATCTCCCCAAATCCACACAGCAGCAACGATACCAAAGCAGTAGTCTCACTTTACCAGCTCATTCTGTAGTACATAACAGGTCTGGCTGCACCGCATTACCATCCTGCTATAGGGGAAAAACAACTGCTACAGCTTGTTAGTAACAGTACTCGTAATAGCAACGGCCAATCAGTAGGTGTCACTACTGTGAAAAGACAAAAAATCCTCATGAGGGAACTTTTTTTTTCCTGTGTGTCTCCTGTACCTTTCTTTTTCATAAGAAATGACATCATTGCAGTTCTACCCACTGGAATGATGCCATGCACACAAATTCTCTTCTCTATGTTTTGGGTAAGTTTTGCAAAAAAAAAAAACCTTCATGGTTTGAAAAATTCCTAATTCAAAGAGAAATAACGGATTGACTGTATTTCTCGGTTATCCTGGCAATCTATTGGGGAAACGCTTCTATAGCAGGATACTAGGCTGACTGGCCACAACCCATCCAGCTCCCTAATGATGCCCCAGCCAGACCACAAGCCCTTAGTCATGGTCTGACACACCTATATACCACCTGAATATTTACTGTGCTGCATCTGCCGCTGTCTTTCCATCCACCAGTCACAAATTCAAGCATTTATTCTCTTCACTTATTCACACCTATCTACCTCCTTCACCCATCTCCACTGTCTCTGCTCCTTACCAGTACTTCCTTGCAGACGTCGTTGAGCTCGCACTCGATTTTATTTCTGTACTCCGTGAAACATTTGGCCTTCCCGCTGTCTTCACACTTGTTCTCCATGCTGGAAATCATCCTCCAGGAGGACCTCTTAGACCCCACTACATTCTTGTAGGCCACAGAGAGCAGGTTGCGCTCCTCGTTGCTGAGCTCCGCCTCGTCCTCTTTGGTCTTTTGTGTGACGTCCTTCATGGCTTCGGCCATGTCATCATAACGCTCGGCCTGCTCGGCCAGCTTGGCCTTCTGTATGGCATATTCCTTGTCCATGGCTCCTGAATGGGTTAAGGAAGGAAGGACAGAGGAGAAAACATTAGGAAAGACGAAACAAAGAGAACAGGATAGGAAGACAGAAGAGAGGGTTGGAGGAGGGCAGGCACAAGGAGAGAAATAGAAGAGCAACATGAGGAGGACAGGGACACCAGTGTGATTACTTAACATGGATGAAGGAGCACTAGGAAACGTTATTGTTCCTGCATAACTCGATTTCTCAGGTATGCACTTAAACATTCCGACTCTCTGGACACACCCATACATTCTAAAATCCTTAGATGACATACAAATGGCAATTACATGACAGACACACACCAGGTTTTGTGAAAGTGGTTTTGGGATATTAATCAGCTTGCCTTGTCTGACACTCAGACTGGCACAGACTTGATTTGTTTTTTTTTTGTTTTTTTACTGGTGACTAAAGGCCAATTTATGCATTTCATGTGTGCAAGTGTTTTTTTTGTGATGTGAATGTCATCTTACTGAAGAATGTGAGCACCCTCGTGGACAGTCGGGGTACTAAAATATAACTCATCAAATACCAAAAACGAGAAAATCTGGATTTGTTTTTTCATTTTTAACAAAGAAAACGAGTGAATCTTTCTGTTTCCTAGTGCCCAATAACACTGAAAATCAAATATTACGAAATGGAAAAACACAGCTCATCTTTTGGTTGATTATTTGTTTTTCTGTTTCCAACTAAAAATTAAAAAGGGCTCTTTTTTTTCCCACTGAACATTTGTGAAGTAAAAACAATACATTGATGGAGAAGATAAAGTAGAAGTCACGTTAAACTGTCAAAATAAAAGTGAAAACTTTAAAAATTTTACTGCGATGAGAACCAGCCACTTCGTATACTTTCGTACTGTAGAACCCAAACCCTGGACCCCTATTTGGACATGTGCGATCAGCCCAAAATTTGCGACTACACGGACCAGATAATCAATTGTCGTCATCTACAAATTTAGAATCAAAGGAGTTGTAATTGATGCAGTTGCAGGACTTGGCTTTGATGTGCTTTCCATCGATGGGGCCAAGACACAGCTGGAAGTTCTAAGTTCTCCAGAAATCCTGTGCAAAGTATGCCAACTATGATAGGCACAACTCAAGAATATTCACGCAAACCATTTAACAGCAAAATGGCTAACTAGCTGCTCTATCTACTTGTAAAAATTGCACAGTGGCCAGCTTCAGAAACCTCAACAGCTATGTGTTTTAAAAACTTGATACGAGAGGTAATGTCATCGTCTGCATCGCTGACCAGAGCGCCTCTCTTGTAGCCTCTTTAACAGAACTGCTCAAGTCCGCTGTTCACTTTAAAAGTCTGCATCGGTCATGCGGAAACAATGAACTGGCCTTACAGCGCGTGTTATACTTCCAACATCTGTGGCGTAAATTTGATCATCTCCTGAAGTCCATGCTACAAGAGAAACAGTGCACATGCTTGCCTCTATTGCGCACGTCCACAACACATATAGCTTACTACATATGTATGGAGACTTTCAAGTGGACAAACTAGAAAAGAAGCACAGCAACAACTGGCAAGAGAGTATAATCATGGCTGAAATCTGCTTGACAGTCATTGGAAGCACAATGAGAAAATAGTGATTATATTTGTATTGCACTTCATAAAACAGTTTCTTCGGACTGATTATTTTTAGGACAGAAACTTTGCTGCACTCCCAGCGAAGTGTAGTGCCAGTATATTTATTTTTCTTGCCTTAAAGTGGCCAGAATATAAGTTAGAATAGGGATACAAATAAGCATCCTTATTCATATTGCATGCTGCTATTTTAGCTTGCAGGTTGTTTTTTGTAAATACAAGTTTAAATTAAAATTCAAAAATGGTCAACAAAGAATAGAGAACATCCCATAGGTCAGTGTGACCTAATCAAAATGTTGGGCTTTTTTTCTTGAATAATTAATATGCAGATTAGTTTTTTTTTTAAAAATGTATTGATTAGTCACCCATCACAATTTCCCAAGGCACAAGATGACAGCTGCCCCCCCCCAAAAAAAACCAGACAAAAATGCCAAAATATGAATTTAACCATCACATATGGCAGAACAAAAAGAAGCTATAGCTTTAGTCTGAAATGTTTTTTTCAAGTTCTCCTTTGAATTAATTATGTGAGACAAAGAGCAGGAGCAAAAAAATCTGGTTTTTGACTACAACTCTTCGCTTGAATTGCTCACAAAAATGTATCTGCAAGAAAAAAAAACCCAACTCACTTGCCTGCTTTACTTTCTTTTTTAAAATAAGATGTATATCTCTTCCTAAAGAGAGGATAACCGGAGGACACTTCCAGAGCATAAAAAACTAAGAAAATAATTTGCACATTGCTTACCAATCCGTCTCCTGTGAGAATCCTCAAAGCAATGAGGCCAGCATTTTATTTTATTTTTTAAAAAGGGGAAGAAAAAAAAAAAATCACTCAATCACTGAGTCAGATTTCCCAACACGCAGACACCTGCACCCTTCACAGGAATGTCGGCCACCCAGTTTCACGTCACGCTCACACACACACAGGCGCGCGCACACACTCTCACTCACTCACGCGCGCGCACACAGACAAACACACACACACACACACACACACACACACCTGCCCACGAGCTTCATACAGTGTACGGCAAGTGTAAAAACCAAAAAACCTTCCTGCGTGATTTTCAGCGAATATTTTTCAGTGTTTGGGGATGAAGGTTGCAGACGAGCTAGCAAGATAACTGCTGGACTGGAATGAAAGGAGCCTAGCTTACTTACAGTCCACAGTGAACGCCCTTTTTCGCTTCCCGGAAAACGAACCAGAGCTGTTGCTTTTGCGAGTATTAAACATTAATTTTAGGTTCTTTGTTCCACAAAAGCGAATCTGGCGCACCAGAAAGCTGTCTTTTAGAGGCGGCGAACAGAAAAAAAGACGGCTCAGCGTGCAGCAAGCAGCGCTCCCCATTCAGTCAGCGGCTTGAACAATGACGGAGCAGCCGAGCATCATCAATGATTTCTACTTGGCGGTCGCAGAAGCGGCGATGAACGCGGGATGAAAAGCGTCGCCGGAGCCCACCGAGCATAAATATAGACCTTTAGACAAAAATATTTGCGAGCAAAAGCGGAAAATAAACGAGAACCAACCTGCGAGTGTCGTTAGTCGGTGTTGTTCCTGCTTCCCGGCCGCACAGCTGACGATCTCTCCCGCTCATCCACGGGGTTTCCCTCCAATCAAAGACACGGCAGCAGGGTCGCACCGGGACGGCTGACGTCACGCTCGGGTTGCTAGGGTGACCGAATTTACAGGCAAAATTTTGAAGGGCGTGTGAGTCAGTAGGTGGAAATCTTTTTTTTTTTTTTAAGATTTTTAGACTTTCTGTAGCTTATTTCACAAGCAACACATTCGTTTTTTCGTATCTGTATTCCAAATAAAATAGGCAATCTGACACTATTTCTGTCAGTTTGCTTCAATATCACCTTTAATTCACTACTTTGATAATGTTGGAACTTTAAATCTAACGATGCAAATTCTTACTGCTTTATGAATGCAAAAAACAAAACCAAAAAAAAATAAAAAATACGCACATATCATGAGCTCCTTTTTCTCGTTTTGTCCTGTCGTGCGCGCAAAGATTCATGGGACATGTAGTTGTTTCGATCTTGGGTGTGACGGGGACGATACAGTGCTGCTTAATGAAGCGAACAAGTGTTTCTATGTAGCATCTTGTCTTTCGCAGAGGTTTATTTAAAGTGTTTCACAGGCAAAGGTAAAATCTTAAAACACGTAAAAGATGGAGTACAAACCACAGAAGAAGAGTATGAAATAAAGTATACAGTAAAATAGATTTTTTTTTTTTTTAAAGAACATTTTAAAACAAATCTGATTATCAAAATCTGTCTCTATCTTCCTCTTAAAATGCCTACATTTGGGCCAAACTAGGTTCCAAAGGAGGCTGGTTCCAACAGCGGGCAGCTTAATGGCTAAATGCCATTTTATCTTGTCTGGCCTGAACTTTAGGCACCACTAATTGACCAGTCCATGCAGATTGCAAAGGCCCTCCAGGCTCATATTCAACATATCTCTGATATATTTTAGTCCCAGACCATTCCAGACCCTTTGGAGATTTATAGGTAATAAGTACGGCCTTAAATTCAGTTTTATTCGGTTTCAGACTAAAAGCCATTGCAGGGACCTAAGAATCTGTGTAGTGCATTCTCACTTCTTGGTGTTAGTTAGTATTCGAGCAGCAGCATTTTGAATCAATTGCAAATGTCTAATGGTCTTATTAGCAAGGCCAGTAATGTACTTATAGTTACCAATGCCTCTTAAAACAGGAACAGAATATGAAGGAATGTCTTATGACTTCAACTTGAAAGAACAGAAGCTACCTGGAAGCGATTTTATCTGTTGTAAAAATGTCATAAAAGCAAACAGCTGTCAGTTATCACAGAAACTGTGTCTCTAGGAGGAGTGTGTTGATTGATCAGGCTATGACATGCCTTCTTTCCGGTTTGCAAATGGAAAACTGAGAAAAGAACAAGTGTACATTTACGAATGTTTCTTTTCACTGAGATCACCATACTTCTACTGGCACAGTGACACCACTGTGAGGTAACTCTTAAAGTAATAATCACTGTTCTGCTAACGTGGTGCATATAACCACCAAATGCCTTATTAGGTCTTTTGATTGCCCTTGTAGACCAATATAATAGTGACACCTCTGAAGAGAGCGACTCATAATGATCCAACTCTTCCTACATGCACCATCAAATATAAATTCTAATAATTTCATGCAAAATGCTTCAATACATATGATGTAATGTGAAGATGTTAAATAATGTGGGTATCAGGCTAGCTTAAATCCTGACCTTACATGCCTTCAAACTGCCTAATTCAACCTTTGCCCAGACAAAGAGGTGATACTTCATGGTTCATCTTAGTGGTTCATCTGCATTGCATAAGTTTAAAGTAGTATGGCTCTCCCTGTTGTCATACACCACGCCCCGTTTATCTAGTTGGACTACTCATACAAATGTCAGTGATTTTTTTTGAAACTTTTCCACTCATGAATCATCTCTCTTGACCCTGTAAGACGTGTATGAAGGTGGGCATGAGTGCACAAGCGCAGGCAAGTCTGTGTGGCCTCACCTGGTGGGCAAGACTTCAATAACTGGTGACTAACTGGTGAGTTGTTCCCATGGTAAAGATAAACAGCCTTGCGAGGAGAGACATGAATCATATATGGAGAGGTTTTTAATCCTATTCTAATTGTTAGTTAAAAGTTTCTAACCTTCAGTCTGACATAGTTATTACAGCCTCTTTTTTTACATAATAGAATGAAAGTGATGCTCCCTGAAATATCCTCCTGTGGAAGGAAAACAACCAACAGCACTGATTAAAAGAAAAAGAAAAAAGAAAGCAGTCACCCCCACCGGGAGTTTTTTCCTTTCACGGTCAATATAATCTAGCTTTTTGACACTCTTTAATGTCAAAGTGAAAGTCGATTTCTACAAAGCAATGTCAATTAATAAAAAATATAGAACGTAAACTAAGGAATTTCTTAAGTTTTGACCCCCATTAAGTCAGTATTTAGATTACGGCACTGATCCTGTGTAGATAGGTGTCAATCAACCTTGCACACCTGAACACTGCAATTTTACCACAACCTTATTTGCAAAGCTGCTCAAGCTCTGTTAAATTAAATTGACCATATTTCAATGTTAAACAGCAATAAACTAGTGAGGGGGAAGAATACTTTTTATAGGTACTGTAGGCTTGGCTATCTCCACTGTCTTTAAAATGCCATTAAGAGATCAAATTAAAACGTTTGAAGATATTACCGAAGATATGACAACTCCAACAATATTTTTTTGTATTAGATTTTTGGTTGTTTTTGTTGTAAATGCCAATAAATTTCTCTACTACCTCTGAAACACGAACTAGCTTTGGGCCCAATCTCAAACACGACCACTGACCAGTATGATTCAGAAGTTGTTTTCCTAAAAAGAAAAATGCTCATAAACAGTCGTGTGCAATCTGGTCTTCGTTAATCTTATATGATGTCAATGAAAGGCACATGAAGCCACCAACCACAAAGTTTCTCTAATGGCAGCACAGTGAGTGATCTGATGGAAGTTTGTGTCTGAAAATAGATGACCTACAGCCGGGGAGAATTCCTTCACCTAATTAAAACAACTAATTTCATCTTGCGCTAGTGCTCCTTTTCTTCCTGTCGGTGCTGTGGCTGAATTTAAAGAGAGGTCATAACGCTCAGATATGTGTGTGTGTGTGTGTGTTTGTGTGTCTGTTTGTATGAATGAACATGTGTCGTGTTTGTCCATTCACAAGTTTACAGAGGGGAAGGAAGGATGTGGACTATGTGTGAGAAGACGGGAACAATGCGGGCTATGACTCATTCATCCGAGTTGCTCAAACCATTAAAGCAACAGGCAGCATAGCACTGGCCCTGCAGTTCTTCTGAGCAGTCAGAGAAAAAAAAAAAATCAAGCCTCATTTCCCCTTAAAGGTTTTAATTTTGACAAAGACCACAGATTTTGTGGGCTTTGAGTGACTGTATGACTCCTGACACATTCGATTCAATGGTGTGGTTGTGTCATGTCTGCATGACAAACGCTCAGATGGCGTGTTCTTTCAGTTGTTGGGCTTATGCTGCATTTGTCATAGCTGGGGAATAAGGCCACACAGCATGAATCAGTCATGACATCTTTTTATGCTTGTTGAGTGACTTTGGACAGTTTTTGCTGCATCATTTCCAGACAAAACTAAACCACAGTTGTGTTTCATTACAATTTAAACACCTGTTTCTGTTACCTGTGGGTATATATATATATTTTTTAAAGGCCACCTGACAGCGTGTTTAAATCTTCAAGTGAAGCAAATAAAAGCTTTTATGACCCTTGTGGCTTGCTTTGATCCATATAGTCACCTCTACCGGCGGCGGAAACTAATTTATTCATTAAAAAATGTCACGGATTATTAACACAGCCTCCTGGGATGATGTCCAATTACTCTCTGAGTCTTGCTGACTTCTCTCCAGTTAATACTGTGTATACAAATATATTCATTGCTATTCATTAATTATGGCACGCTAACAAAGATAGGTGAGACCTGATATCCAAGGTCAGGGAGACTTCTATTTACTACCAAGTGAGCAGGGCCGTAGAGAACTGCAGTCACTTTGAATGTCTTTGGTGGCACCGAACTATCGAAAACGTTGATATGTGAAGAGCCAGGGTTAGCTCACCAAGCCAGAAAAACAAGAACAGGCATGCATACTGGATCAGTGTAAGTGACAGCCCTGAGAAACTACCATCAGTTCAGACAGGGTGGAGTCCTTCAAATATTATCTAATGACAGACGTCTATGTGCAATAACCCTAACCTTTCCCATGAATCCCACAAAACACCATCATAGAACCTTAAAGAAAAAAAAAAAACAACAGCACAATTACAACAAAGTAAAATTTAATAAAATGGTATAATACATCTGGAGCATACATTCATTTTCCGAGCATATATGTTGCTGGCAAGCTCCCGTAAAATTTGACTAACTTACAATTCATTTTAGCCGCTCGCAAATGGCTGACAGATTTCACATTTTTGTGATCCAACATGAAATTCTCTGATTAGCTCTATTAAAGATTGCAGTATAACAGGGCAGACAGCGCTGTGGAGGAGTTACACCGTGAACAGCTGCAAAAAAAAAATAAACAGTGTCACAGCCTCCTTTTTTGATTCAATACTCAAAGCACTAACGAAACAGATGAGGTCACTTTTGTCACTGCCTCAACTTTAGCCAACTGAAAATTCTGAATACTCCCACGCAAGCCAAATCCATAGTTTACCTCAGTCGGCGTGTTTATCTATAGAGGTTCGATCAATCCACAAAAGCTTTGGATAAAGAGGTGCAAGAGCTAGCAGCAAGAAATATTCCTATATGCACAAAACATCAGGGCAGTTCTGAGAAACTGTGTGAAATTACAAGGGGAGGAATCTTCTCTCGCCCCGTTTCATTGTTCATAGATCGTTCAGGTCTACAGCGGCCCTGGAATCAAACCTGCATTTGAGTCTAGCTCTGCATGTATTTAAACACAAGCACATAGGACGGGATGGGAGGAAGCATTGCATCAAAGGCAATCTGTCCTGTTAAAGGATAGACGAAGCTTCATGTTGGTTACATCAAATCATCCGTTGCTGTCAGACTGACAAGTGCAGAGTTGGTAC